AGATATGCTGGTTGGCCCTCCACATTTAGGGACCGAACTGTTCAGTACATGAGCAGCCTGTTAATCTATGAAAACTGTTTCATAGTCAAATTATACACTATTGCTTAGAAGTCATTTTTAAATAGAAGGGATACATGACATTAAACTACAAATTACCAATTCTTACATAATTCTTGGTTTTCTTTCTTTTTTTTCCCCCTCTTTCAAAGGAATTCAGTGCTTACGTGCAACAAATTAAATATGGTGTGGCTAGGATTAAATCAGCCATGCCAAGAGTGTATGAGCTGGCAGCTGGTGGCACTGCAGTTGGTACAGGATTAAATACCAGAATTGGTTTTGCAGAGAAGGTTGCGGCTAAAGTAGCTTCACTGACAGGTAAGGATAACCCAAAAGGAGAGACTCTTCTTCGAGTGATTGCATATGTGCATTCCACTCTTGGAGTCTATAAGCCCAGTGCTTGTCTGTTAGAAACTTTTTCCTGTTGTGTGGCTCAAGCTACTGCCACATGCCACTGCATGCAGATGGTAGAGGGCAGAGCCACTCCAGCCCCCTTCATTTACTGTCCAAAACAGTCCTTCAGTATCAGAAGAGTTCTCTTTCAGCTTTTTAGTAATGCATGTATATAGTTAGTAAATTTTAGTGGTTTAAAAAATCAGATTTTTTCTGCATATGGTCCTTAGATCACAAGGATTCAAGCTGCCATGTGCTTCTTGAGGCTTATGACAGTGAGTGACACTCACAACACCTGCCTTAAGTGCTTAGGTGAAGCATACATTAAAGGCCAATGTCACATTTACAAGGAATTCTAGCTCAGTGTTGCTCAAAGTGGGCCATGGGCCCGCATGGGTATGCTGCCGGTGGGTTCTCACTGCTTTGTTTATCTAAGGTGTCCATAGCCGCAGAGCCTCATAGCTCCCATTGGCATCAGGTTTGCCGTGGCCCACTTTGAGAATATTCTTCACCTAAAATGAGAAGCTGCTGCCTCTGGAACCTATGCCAGGTCCATCAGGTGTGTTGGACCTGAAAGGTTTCTGTGACAGACTTTTCAGCCATACCACTTCTAAACGCAACTACAAGAGAATTCCTTAGTCTCTCAATACCGGTATTCTTGGTGGTGCAGAGTTTACAGTCAATCCCCATGCCTGTGGTACCTGCCTCTTAATATTAGGAACTCAGTGTAGTGTTTCTTCCCTAATTTCTGCAAAGGCTGGTGCAATCAAAGGGCAAGGCTCCTTTGATATCCCAACTGATTGTGCCTTATTGACATTGGACATTTCAGATTCTTCCTCTTAAGATTCAGAGGTTCATTCATCTGTATCCCATTAAAGACAGAGGGGATACTCCATCACAGAGTTGGGGACTGTGGGTCATGCGAGTCACAGTACTGGCCACCTTCTCCTAAGGGGCAATGGTGCATTCGAGGCTGGGTACTAGCCCCATACCAGTTGCCATTCTGGATACCGTAGGGCATCCCTCTTATATTTTTGTCTTTGAGACCCTTCTGGGATATTGCAATGGAGAACAGCCTTCATCATCAGCCAGAAGTTACTCCTCACCACAAGTCATTGAGCAGCTATGGCCTCAGAATCCTATGGCATCCCCTTCCTCATGGCCAGACAAGGCTCTGGAGGAGGCTATTAACCTCCAGAGGATTACTGGGCTCATCAAGATCTATTGAAAAGGGTTGCCTCTGTTCTTGACATTCAGGCATAAGAGGAGTATGAAAGTTTTCATGAATTGAATGATGTTATGGTATTGGCCAATGTGACTGCTAATCATTGAAGGCATTATGTCAACAGTTCCCAACCACAGGTCTGGGAGTGGGCCGTGAACCCTGTCTGCCAGGCTGTGGCACATTGCCAGGCCATGCCTCTTGGAGTTCTCAAGGAATTCCCTTCCCGCCCACTTCCCCACTCAGCAGCAGGGTGAGTGGCGGTGTGGGTTGCTGCAGCTGGAGCCGGGACCATGGTGAGGTTGTCCCTACTGGGCAGCCTCACTGTGGCCCCAGTTCCAGCTGTTGCTATGTGGCCCGGCTGGCGGGGCTGCAGGGAGCTTGGCTTCCCTGGCCGGCAGGGCTGAGCGCCGCGGGAAGAGAGCGGCTGCCCCTGAAATCCCGTTCTTCTCCCTTCCAACTTTAAAAATACAGAAATATGCAGAAACTTACGTCCATGTATGAATAAGTTAAATTTAAGCAAATGTGTTGGTATAAACTTCTTAATATGAATCACTATGAACAACTTTTATCCATACTGGATTACTTAGAAATCATTAACTCTTAACCACCCAAAGAGAAGCCAAGATTAACCACAGAAAGCACTGTTATCATGCATTATCTTTACATGCAGCTCTTAGAAGCGCAAAGAATCTTCACTAAGTTGTGAATTGATTCCTATTATAGCTGGAGGAATATTTCTATTCTAGCAGAAATGTTTGGCTTTCTAGTCTAATAAAAAAATAAGGCTTCTCCAAAAATTAGTGAAAACCAGAACTATTCTGCATGTATTGTGTGCGTACAGGCGCGATGTAAAATAACATGTGGCCTCTTAAAATTACCATACTGAATATGCAAATAAATTACCATAATGAATATGCAAATATTTCTGTGCCAAACACCTGCCTCAATTCCACTTACCTATAAAAAGGCAGACTGAAAGTACAATGTCCCACCTAAGGGCTCAGTATTTCTGTTCACCCACCCACCACCAAACTCATTGGTAGTGGATGCAGCTCAGCAGAGGAATAAGCAACAAAATCGTTCCATACCGTCCAACAAGGACAATAAGAGTCTTGATTCACTTGGGAAGAAAGTGTACGCATCAGCTATGCTACAGATGAGGGTAGCCAACTACGCCGCACTTCTCAGAAATACGATTTCAATAATTATGCAAAGTTCAACGCTTGTATTGATATACCAGAAAATAAGAAGGTGCAATTCAGAGCGATTGTCTCAGAGGGCCAGGTAATATCATGCACAGCCCTTCTAAAGCTGCCTTGGACGCAGCTGATACGGGTACGAGAACAACAGCCATGGTGATTGTCATGCAACAAGCCTAATGGTTCAATTTGTCTGCCTTCCCTCGAGAAATCCAACCGTCAGTGGAAGACTTGCCATTTGAGGGAGAGTAGCTCTTCTCATCAAAAACAACAAGGTCCCCCACTCAGTGAAAGACTCCATGGCAACATTACGCTCTCTGGGGATCCAGACATCTGTAACAAGAATACAGTATAGATATCAACCATGATAGAGGCCAAGGTACCCGCAACCTACACACTATTATCAAAGACAAATCACCCGCCATATCAGCAACGTGGCCGTAGTAGACAGCAGCATCAAGGGCCCCAAAATAATACCTCCAACGGCCCACCCCAACCAGATAAGCAATTTTGAGCCATTTGTCAAGACCAAAAACCATACTGCCTCCTCCAGAGCTCTCAAATACTACCAAACTCTTCACCTGTTGCCATTTCTTGACAAATGGCACACCCTCACATCTGACAAGTGGGCGATACAGACAATCTCCTTCGGATACGCCATCCCTTTTCTCTCTCTTCACCTACCCCTCTTCAGTGACCCCTCTCTCAAGATCTTACTACAACAAGAGGTGGATCACCTGCTACAATTAAGAGCCATAGAACCAGTTCCGCCAGAGTTTGAGGACTGGCTTCTACTCTCATTACTTCCTTACTCAGAAAAAAACTGGCGACTGGTGCCCAATTCTTGACTTGAGGACACTAAACAAATTTGTCAAGACAAAAATTCAAAATGGTTACTTTAGCCACCATTATCCCCGCTCTGGAGCTTGGCGACTGGTTTTCGTCTCTCGACCTACAAGATGCATATTTTCATGTGTCTATATGACCTGCTCATAGAAGTTTTCTTCGTTTTACGCTAGGTTCGCAACACGATATCAATATAAAGTCCTACCCTTCGGACCTCCATAGCACCAAGGTTTTTTTCCCAAGATGTTAGCAGTGGTCACGGCCCATCTCAGGAAGTGTGGCGTCAATATTTATCCATACCTCGACAATTGCCTCATCAAGGCAAGAACCAGACACAACTCTTTCCACTGTACCCATCTGGTCCAACTGCGTTTCCAATCACTAGGACTTTTGATAAACGAGAGCAAATAAGTGCTCACACCCACTCAGTCTATATAATTCATCAGGGCCCACTTGACTCCGCCGTGGCCTCCTCACCTACCGACAGGTTCCCCAGGATCAGCCAACTAGCTCATTCGCTCCGCATAATGCCACTTGTCACAGCCCACAACTGTCTACAACCCCTGGGTCATATGGCATCCTGCAACTCTGTGGTCCCTAACATGCCTGTTTATGAGATGTATTCAGGGATGGCTCAGACTCACCAACAAACCCAACATCTACCTGATTACCAAAACACTGTCACTCCCAAATGTAGTAAAGAGATCACTACAATGGTGAACAAAACCGTACAATGTTTGCAGGGGCATACCTTTTCAAAACCCAGAACCCACAGTGTGTATCTCCACAGACGCTTCTCTCACCGGTGGGGAGTGCACATGAAAGGACTCACAACCCAAGGCCTATGGACTAAAGCAGAGAGGACATTACACATCAATGTCCTTGAACTCAGGGCTGTACGGCTGGCATGCCAGCACTTCCTTCCCCACGTTGCTCGAACCCATGTCAGAATATATATGACCTGTATGTTTTATATAAAGAGGCAGGGAGGAGCACGATCACAGGCTCTTTGCAAGGAAGCCATAGCACTCTGGAACTGGTGCCTTGCCTGTGATATCTCCATAAGCGCGTGCCACCTCGCTGGTGTCCTAAACACAACAGTGGATGCCCTCAGCAGAGCCCTACCCCAAGACTATGAGCGGGAAATCAACAGCTCAGTCCTGAAGCATATATTCATGTGATGGGGACAACCCCACATAGACTTAATCACCACTAAAGTGAATAAGAAATGCCCAATGTACTGCTCCAGAGTGAGCATGGGGAAATGCTCTCATCCTTAAATGGGACACACCCTTGCTCTATGCATTTCTCCTCTTTTCCCCTCCTCAACAGAGTACTCATAAAAATACAGAAGGACAAAGTGAGAGTGATCCTAATAGCATCTTGTTGGCCTCAACAACCATGGTTTCCCCTCCTAAACAGAATGGCCTGACACAGCCCAATCACCCGTCCGCACTGCTCGACCATACTATCCCAGCCAGGGACCAATTCTCCTCCCCCTCAATTTCCTACTCTTCATCTCAAAGCATGGTACCTTGATGGTTCACAGGCATAGAACTCCAATGTTCACAACCAGTGCAAAACATCCTCTTACACAGCAGGGCTCCTACAACAAGAAAGACAAATATTAACAAGTGGGCTTGTTTTACACATTGGGCGGCGGCCTGCCATATATCACCACAGGATGCCCCATTCCCTACAATCCTCGATTACCTACTGCATCTCAAGCAATCATAACTTTCCCTGAGCTCAGTCAGAGTCCATCTGGCAACAGTAACAACCTTTCACATGCCAGTTGACAACCCCACAGTGTTTGCGCTTCCTAAAAGGCCTACAGGCCCTATAATCTGATATTAACTCTCCTTGGGAACCATGGGATCTGCACCTGGTACTGACGATGCTTACAAAACCTCAATTCGAACCCATGGCCGCATATGCTCTACTCTACTTAACCCTGAAGATAGCATTCTTAGTTGCAGTAACGTCGGCATGTAGAGTGGATGAGATGACTGTCCTAACAGCGGACCCACCGTTTACCATCTTTTTTTAAGGATAAAGTCTTGCTGAAACCACACCCCAAATTTTTACCAAAGGTGCACTCCCTTTGTCACCTAAACCAAACTATATACTTACCTGTATTCTTCCCAAAGCTTCACGCCAATGCCTTTGAGGCACAAATGCATACCCTTGTCGTCCGAAGGGCACTCTTCTTCTATATCCACAGAACAAACCCGTTTAGATCATCTCCACGACTCTTCGTTTCCATTGCTGACCTCAGTAAGGAAAGTCACATATCATCCCAAAGATTTTCTCATTGGATTTTCGACTGCATTGCCCTATGCTACTTGCTGAACCATTTACCACCACCTGCCTCAATCCGGGAACACTAGAGCGGTTATCACCTGGGTTGCATATCTGAGGAAGGTTCCTGTCTACAATATATGGGCTGCTGCTATACGGGCATCAGAACACACCTTCGCAAAGCACTATGTACTTTCCTCCGGGTCTCTCCACTACACAAGAGTAGCAAAAGCCATACTGCAAACAGCTTACCTACCTGATCTGAAGTCCTGACCTCCTTAACACAAATTGCTTTGTAGTCACCTACTGTGGGCATCTCTTGAAGAAGAAGAGGAGGTTACTCGCCTTGCTGTAACTGATGTTCTTCAAGATGAGCATCTTTGGGGATGCTCCATTCCCCTCTACTTTGGTGGGGAGGGAGCCTTTCTCCTACACTGGATTCTGGAGAGAGAAGGAACTGAAGGGAGTGTGGCCGCGCATGCATGATGGTACTGGGGGGCCCATGTACTGCGCATGCGTGGCTTCCGATGCACTGCTATCAAAAATCTGCTCTGAGGTGGTGGGATGCACCTACACCTACTGTGGAATTCCCCCAGGGACACTGATCTTGAAGAATGTCAGTTACAGCAAGGTGAGTAACCTTCTCTTTTCTACATGGAGTGTATTTAGTCCTTTAGCTCCTTCACAGTTATTCATTGTAGTTGCAGACAGAGGTATGGACTGACTAGCTTCCACTCAGATAATCTCATCTTGCATCTCTTTGTGCATTTATTTATCAGTGGGCTATTATAGACTTGCCAACAAAAATACTAGTATATTCTGCTGAAGACAAGTAACTTTGGCTTTCTTTGCAGAAGTGCTGATTATAGGAATTTGTAAGGCAGCAACTTGATCATCAGTCCACACTTCTGCTTCCCATTATGCCATTTCCTGTTGCCAGTTTTGGAGAAGTTGTCCTACAGTTGCTGGGCAGGTAGATTCCAAGCCTATCTCTATTTTTATCTGCCTGTGCGTCCCCTACAGTGGAATGGATATGTGAAGCACTTGAACAAAAATAAGTAATCTATCTTTCTATAATGTTTGTTCTTTGAGATGTCCATTCATGCCCTCCTTTCCTGCTCTAGTTCTTTTGTACTTGACAGACTTTGATGAATGGGTGGTTCCACACTCTTGTTCTAGTACATAGTGGTGACACAGGGTCCTAGGGCTGGGTATTGCTGAGGGTAAAAGTTCTCTGACAGATGTGCATGAGGCATATAGTAACACACCTACAGTGGAATGAATGTCTACATCACATCCCGAAAGATACAGGAAGATAGGTAACAATTTTTTCTCAAATATCACCATGACAAGATCTTTTCTTTAGGAAACTCTTGGTTGTCAGAAGTCAGGAGAAGAAAATGTTCTGCTTAGTATTGACTGCTTAATATTTTTTTATATGATCTGTTTTATTATTTTTGTATTACTATATGGCATTTCAGGAGCTTTCACTAAGGGAATACTGCTTTACTAATGATTATGCCTCAAAAAACTTTAATACTCATTTATCTTTAGGCCTGCCATTCATCACTGCTCCAAATAAATTTGAAGCTCTTGCTGCTCACGATGCTCTAGTTGAACTCAGTGGGGCCATGAACACTGTGGCTTGCAGTCTGATGAAGATAGCTAATGATATTCGTTTTTTGGGTTCTGGACCACGCTCTGGTCTAGGGGAACTCATCCTGCCTGAAAATGAACCTGGAAGCAGCATCATGCCAGGTAGTGTATCAAAAAACAAATGTCTATTACATTTGTGTGGAAAAAATGAGTAGTAATTAACGGTTATGTTCACATCTATATCACAGAATTTAATGGTAAAATTAATAGTAAAATGGTATGCAGCAATGAAATTATGCAGTTTTGGGCAGCCACTCTTCCTCCATTTTTAGTCCACAAAAATGTGTGGAAGTAAAATTATTTCCTTTATAATATTTGTGTGTGGGAGAGATGTGGTATAAAGTTTTAATTGGCATGAGTCTGGGAAGAATGCATTTCCTAGGAATGGTAAAGTCAACACACTTTTATACAAAGGTTTTTATTGTGGTTTTTATTTATTTATTAGATCTAGCCTCTGAATACAAATAACATCTCTTACTCAGTTTTTAAGAAAATCAGGGGACTCTGAACTTAATTTCATTCTTTACTCCCAACAGGTGAAGATAGGAAGAGCAAGGGAGGGGAATAAGGATTTTTCAAACTCTTCTCCCCTTGCCTTTCTAAACAAATACTCCAAGCAGGCCTGTCGTGTGTGGAACTGATTATGTGTAGATAGATTGGGTGATTTGTGTGCATGTATAATTGTCTTTTTAGTACCACATAGAAACACAAACTAATGTGGCAGCTTGTGACGTTTTTCCCCTGCATAATATTTTTTAAAGGGAGTGGTCCTTAGGAGTGAAACATGCACAATAATTTTCTGAGCCAAATTACCTTTGTTTCTAATTTTCTACTGAAATAAATAGTCTTTGGAGGTTACTTCTTCATGTTGAGAACAAAGGTGGCAGTCAACTACACTGTTCATATGCTCCTGGAAGGTTGCCAATGTAGCCCTTATCTTAACAAAGTTTGGGCACCCTTGCTTTAAAGTATAATCTTCCAGCTTTTCCTTTTCTCATAAAAAAAGAGAAGAAATGCAGTTTTTAAATAGTTTTGATTTGTTTTGTGGGGGCTAGGATGGGAAGTAAGTTTCTGAATAAGAAATTAAATGAGAATGAAAACCTTTTTCTTGAGTAGCAAGGCATTCTTCTTCGAGTGGTGTCCCCGTGGGTGCTCCACCATAGGTGCTGGGCTCTTCAGTAGCAGTGTTCGACCGGACTGCACATGCACAGCAGCATCTCGCAGCGTTTGCACTCTTTTCTGTGCTCACATGGTCGGTCTCTGCCAGTGCAGTGGGTTTAGTAAATATGTGCCTGTATGCTGTTCAAAGCTTGACTGCTACCTCATTTTACATATTGCTTGAAATTGCATTATAAGAATTTAAAGTCACATAACAAAAACTGGAGAATCTTTTTTTTGTAACTTTCGCCTTCCCTCTCCCACAGGAAAAGTAAACCCTACCCAGTGTGAGGCTGTAACCATGGTGGCAGCTCAAGTGATGGGAAATCATGTTGCTGTTACAGTAGGAGGAAGCAATGGACATTTTGAATTGAATGTTTTCAAGCCCATGATTGTAAGTTCAAAAGATTTTAAAGTTGTTTTTTTATTTGTTTGTTTGGATAGGATTTCAGTTTATTGCTTGGGTAGCAGAAGCAGAGAGGAAAAGAATAACAGAAAAATCTTGAATGGTACTTGATGATAATAAATCAAATAGATCATCATTTTGAGAGAGAACTTACTGTCCATTATGTAAGAGTTGAGGGTTTTTTAGCCCTTTATCATAGAAATGTATTATAAATATTAATTATCATAATGCTCCTGGGAGAAAAGGGCAGCAAGAATAAGTAACTTGTTTAAAACCAAAAAGGATCTGTGTCACAGCTGAGGTAGTGAACTGAGGAATTCCTGTTTTCTATTTCAGTGCCCAGAAAATTTTGTTGTGCAGTCCTTTTGGCCTTTCCAGAACCCACCCCAATTGACCGGAAAGCCACTCACCATTGTACCATTAAATTTAACTGTTCATATTCACATTACAAATGTAACTTTAGAATATCAGTTATGGGCTTGGGGCCTCTAAAATATTTATTTTATGCATTTCCTAGGAGGACATATCAGAATCTATGTGATCATTACCATACTGTGTTTAATGGCAGATACACAGATGAGCAGAGCATACACAATCACTTTGACACATGAAATTTCTGGCTAACTCATATGTATATTACATCCAATAAAAATGTTTGCAAGTTGAATTCATTTGGTGTAGGATTCATATTGCCACTGCAGGCTTCTTTGGGTATGTCTACACTACAACATTATTTCAAAATATCTAATTTTGAAATAGTTATTTTCAAATAGTAACGCATCTACACACAAAATGCATTTTGAAATAGCTTTTTGCTATTTCGAAATAGCGCGTCTACACTGATTGGACGCTGAATCGCATTTAAGGCCAGCCAGAACTGGTTCCGTCAGGGAATCAGGTCAGAAGTTACCTTGTGGCCAGCAGGGCACCTTGGGAAGGGCTGGAGGCCCCCTATTTCGAAATAAGCGACTACACAGCACTTATTTCGAAACAGCAATTTTGAAATTGGCGCTATTCCTTGTGGAATTCCTTGTTCCTCATTCCACAAGGAATAGCGCCAATTTCAAAATTAATTTTGAATTAATTAATTAATTTTGAATTAATTTTGAAATAGCAGTTGGCTTGTGTAGATGCTAGGAAAGTTATTTCGGAATAACGGCTGTTATTTTGAAATAACTTTGCTATGTAGACATACCCTTTCAGAAGAAGCTTTTCCAGAAGAGTTCTTCTGAAAAAACTTCTTCCGAAAGAGAGCATCCATGCTGCCAAAGTGCATCGAAAAAGTGATCTGCTTTTTTGAAAGATAGCATCCACACTGAATGGACGCTATCTCACATTTAAGCTGTGATTACTATGGATGGAGTGGCCACCAGGGCACCTGTGCTTTTTCCCCTTTCCTCTTCTTTTAAAAGAACTCCCTCTTCTCCGTCCACACACACCTTTTTCTGAAAGAGTTCTTCCTTGTAGAAAGAGGTTTACCAATGTTGGAAAAACCCCTTTGTTCTTTCGATTTTTTTTTTGAAAGAACGCAATAGTAGTGTGGACATAAGTGAATTTTTTTCAGATAAATGAACGTTTTTCTGAAAAAACTCTGTAGTGTAGACATAGCCTAGGAGGTGTCAAAGCAAGCAGTTAATTTGCACACCTATTTTGTCTAGATTCTTATTCTTTCCTCTAGAATGGATTATGCAGGGCATGGAACAATAGAAGGAAATCTGTTCAGTGTAGGTGGAGAAAGGAAAAAAAAGAACTGAGGGGGTTATTTTTCTCTGTGAAGGGAAAGTTAGGAAGAGGAGAGGAGGAATGAACAGAGGAGAAATTAAGGGAAAGAACAGAGATAAAAGCATAAAAACAGGGAGTTGTTGAGAAGGAAGACTAAAACATCAAAACAAGCAGATGAAGAAACAAGGTAATTTAATGGTTTCTAAGTAGTTTACAAATATGCTTTGCTTATGTATTCAGTGATATGGATAATGTCTACTACCTCTAAGTGTTCTTCAGGATATTACATGCTTCACATAAAGTGCTCCTTACATACCACTAACTCAACTTGTATTGCAGTACAGCGCACAATCCTTTCTAAAGATGAATTGTTAATTGGGTGGCTATTATGAGTTTAAGAAATTATGTATCCGATCATGAAAATATTAATAGCTAGATCTAATAGCTTTTTCAATTCTCTAGATTAAAAATGTATTAAACTCTGCAAGACTCCTTGGAGATGTCTCAGTTTCTTTCACTGACAACTGTGTGGTTGGAATCCAAGCCAACACAGAGAGGATCAACAAACTAATGAATGAGTCTCTGATGCTGGTGACAGCCCTTAATCCCCACATAGGTAAAAGTCTGAGGATATCTATTCATTAGAATATAAACTTTTCAAAAATATGTGTATGTGAAAGTTACTGTCAATAACCGACCCGTAGATTATTCTGCTTCACAAAGTACAGCATTTGACTTTTTATTTTATTTTGTTTTTTGGTTAAAGAAAACATTCAAGTGAATGATCAAATATTAGGCTTTTTATTGAAAAACAATCTGAATTAATAATAATAATTAACAACTGAATTATGGCCAGGTAACTGTTTTTGTTTTTGTTGTTTGTTGCAAGGGAAGGTACCAGGGTTGGTATTAGTGTGGTACCTTCCCTTGCAACAAACCCCGTTGCCAGCTTTGTCCACATATTCATTCTGCTGATACCATTATTGGACCTAACCAAGTGAGTTATAAGATCAAGAACACATATTCCTGCGCATCCAGAAATATAATCTACGCTATCATGTGCCGAAAGTGTCCGTCTGCTATGTACATTGGACAAACATCTCAGACACTTCGCCAAAGGATTAATGCCCACAAAACAGATATCAGACAAGATCACAAAGAAAAAACAGTTTCTTGCCATTTCAACCAGAAAGGACACTTCTCCTGAGGTAACTGCCCTTGTCACTTTTCTTCACAGCTGGGCCTGGCATTGCTTTGCAGCAGCTCTGGCTCCATGCAGGAAGTGCTGTGGTGTCTGCAAGGACAACTAGAGCATGTGGCATGACTTTGGTTTCCCATGAGGGGGTAGGAGTAGAGGAGTGGTGCATGAGATGCAGAGGCCCCTTTAAGCACATGTCTCTGATCACCTCAGCAAGCAGCTATAGGAAGTGTCTGTCCTCCTGGTGCCCTCCACAATTAGTGTGGACACACTCTTTTGAAATAATTCTGTGCTATGTTGATGCTGCATAGTGTGGATGCCCTATATAAAAATACTGATAGAAATGTAGCCGTGTTAGTCTGGTGTTAGTCTGGCCCACGAAAGCTCATCATCTAATAAACCATCTTGTTAGTCTTTAAAGTGCTACATAGTCCTGTATTTTGCTTCACTTTTTAAGAGGGACTTTGTGAGTTTTCTGGTATACAGGATGAATCTGGGCCATGTAACTGCTCCTAGGTACAGTAATTCCTCACTTAACGTGCCTGCTTAACACGTTTTTGCGATAGCATGATTTTTTGGGGGGAACATTTTTCGAACTATACGACCAGTCCCCGCAATAACACGATTTCCCCTAGGGCCGGCCGGCAGTTGCGCGAGGCTTTCCCTGCAAAGTGATCCCCTCTAGCTGGATGCTTTGCTCCCTCTCCTTTACCTCCTGCTGGCGGCTGGGTTTCCTCAGCTGGCCAGTCACCGGCAGCTGTGCGGGGCTTACCCTGCCTTCAGAGGTTCTCCACTTGCTGTGCCATTCCCCGGCAACCCCCTCTGGCTGGATGCCTCGCTCCTTCTCCTCTGCCCCCCGCTTGCAGTGGGCGGCTGGGTTTCCCCAGCTTGACGGTCACCAGCAGCTGTGCAGGGCTTCGTCTGCCTCCTTACAAAGCGTCGGAGGTTCTCTGCTCACCACACAGTTCCCCGGTGACCCCCTCTGGCCGGATGCCTTGTGTCCGGCCAGAGGGGGTCACTGGGGAACTGTGCAGCGAGCGGCAAACCTCTGCCGATTTGTAAGGAGGCAGACGAAGACCCGCGCAGCTGCTGGTGACCAGGCAGCTGGGGAAACCCAGCTGCAAGCCCCCTCCCCTCTCCTGTCCTTCCTTTCCCCAGAGCCAAACACCTTCCCTCCCTGTTGTAATATAGAATCATAGGACTGGAAGGGACCTCGAGAGGTCATCGAGTCCAGCCCCCCGCCCTCAAGGCAGGACCACGCTCCGTCTACACCATCCCTGACAGATGTCTTTCTAACCTGTTCTTAAATATCTCCAGAGAGGGAGATTCCACCACCTCCCTTGGCAATTTATTCCAATATTTGACCACCCTGACAGTTAGGAATTTTTTCCTAATGTCCAATCTAAACCTCCCCTGCTGCACTTTAAGCCCATTACTCCTTGTCCTGTTCTCAGAAACCAAGAGGAACAAATTTTCTCCTTCCTCCTTGTGACACCCTTTTAGATATTTGAAAACCGCTATCATGTCCCCCCTTAATCTTCTTTTTTCCAACCTAAACAAGCCCAGTTCGTGAAGCCTGGCTTCATAGGTCATGTTCTCTAAACCTTTAATCATTCTTGTCGCTCTTCTCTGTACCCTTTCCAATTTCTCCACATCTTTCTTGAAATGTGGTGCCCAGAACTGAACACAGTACTCCAGCTGAGGCCTAACTAGTGCAGAGTAGAGCGGCAGAATGACTTCTCGAGTTTTGCTTACAACACACCTGTTGATGCAACCTAGAATCATATTTGCTTTTTTTGCAACAGCATCACACTGTTGACTCATATTCAACTTGTAGTCCACTATGACCCCTAGATTCCTTTCCGCCATGCTCCTTCCTAGACAGTCGCTTCCCATCTTGTATGTATGGAACTGATTGTTCCTTCCTAAGTGGAGCACTTTGCATTTCTCTTTATTAAACCTCACCCTGTTTACCTCTGACCATTTCTCTAACTTGCTAAGGTCATTTTGAATTATGTCCCTATCCTCCAAAGAAGTTGCAACCCCACCCAGTTTGGTATCATCTGCAAACTTAATAAGCGTACTCTCTATCCCAATATCTACATCATTGATGAAGATATTGAACAGTACGGGTCCCAAAACAGACCCTTGCGGAACTCCACTTGTTATCCCTTTCCAGCAGGATTTAGCACTGTTAACAACAACTCTCTGACTATGGTTATCCAGCCAATTATGCACCCACCTTATCGTGGCCCTATCTAAGTTATATTTGCCTAGTTTATCAATAAGAATATCATGCGAGACCGTATCAAATGCCTTACTAAAATCTAGGTATATGACATCCACCACTTCTCCCTTATCCACAAGGCTCGTTATCCTATCAAAGAAAGCTATCAGATTAGTTTGGCATGACTTGTTCTTCACAAACCCATGCTGGCTATTCCCTATCACTTTATTACCTTCCAAGTGTTTGCATATGATTTCCTTAATTACCTGCTCCATTATCTTCCCTGCTTCCATTATAATCCAGTCCCCTTTCTCCCCCAACCTTATGTCTCAGTCCCAGCTGCTAACAAATGCAGGCTGGAGCTGCAAGCGCATGTGCGCTTGAAACGCAACCCCCACCTTTTCCATTATTTTCAATGGGAAAATTGACCTCGCATAACACGTTTTCACTTAGTACGATCATTTTCTGAAAGGTATCTACCGTGTTAAATGAGGAATTACGGTACTGGCCATAGGGAGTTCAGTACCAACAACATCCTGCGTCAACGCCACCTGTTTCTATACCATTGGTCTACCAGGCAGCATCACACCTGCTCTGCCTCTCCATTCCCTATACCCTAATAATTCAAGAGCATTGGTGTGGACTCTGTCTTCAGCACTGACTGTATCTTTGCTGCAGGCTTGATCTTTGGAGTCTGTATTGTCTTCAGCTATAAGGAGTGATGTTTGCTTTGGGACCGAGTGGAACTGTGATGTCTATTTCAGTACTAAAAGCAGCAACTTCTCCTTCAGTCTTGATACTGACACAATCTCATTTTTTAGATGAGGCTAGTTGCTTGCTTGCCGTATGGGGGTGGCTCCTCCATTACAACTGGATAACTTCTGGAGGCTTGTCGAGATCAGGGATGACATCATCTTCTTTGCTTTCCAAGCAATTCTGAATTCTGTATTTCAAATCACCATTAGTATCAAGATTGGTGCCATTACCGCAGTAGGGATAGGGCTTCCTGGCCTACTACTTAGGGTGTGTCTAGACTACATGGCTCCATCGACGGAGCCATGTAGATGAGTTTACTAGACGTAGCAAAATGAAGTGGCGATTTAAATAATCGCTGCTTCATTTACATTAAAATGGCCGGCGCGCTGTGCCGATCAACTGATTGTCGGCACAGCACGGTAGTCTAGACAGGGATCAGTCCACCCCAGAACCCTTTGTTGTCAGATCCTGTAAGCTTCGTTTCATGAGGCATAAAGGATCTGACGACAAAGGATTCTGGAGTGGGCTGATCCCCGTCTAGACTACCTGTGCCGACAATCAGCTGATCAGCATAGCTATTTTGATGTAAATGAAGCGGTGATTATTTAAATCGCCACTTCATTTTGCTATGTCTAGTAAACTCACCTACATGGCTCCGTCGACGGAGCCATGTAGTCTAGACACACCCTTAGTGGCCAACAATGCTTTATGCCTATTCTCAGTGGCCCCCTTTGGAATGGTTCAACTTGTTCTGACTCTTTTATGCCAAAAGACAGAATTTCTTATGGCTGTATAACTTCTGTGATAAGAGTTAGCTTCAGGCCCTAATGCTAGGTGTTCAGTATACCTAGTTTTTCAAGCACAAGGTTGCCTTGAGGCCTCATCATAAATTTCTCTTTAAGGTGGTGTTACAATTTCATCTCAACTAGACAGTTTACTTGGCTATTTCTTTTTTCCCCTCAAACCTCATTTGGAAGTTGATGACCAGCATCTTTACTCTGTGGATGTGAGATGATGCTTGGCAATTTCATATAGAAAAAACTAAGCCATTTTGATCAACACCTTGTCTTTTTGTTTCCTTAGTTTGATCTCTTTCAATCCATAATCTCAGCATGGACAGTTCGTTTGATTTATAATGGTTTCAGATAACTTGGACTCCACCTCAAAGTCCCAAACTCCTTTGATCACTTTTCACAATTATATTTTGATCTTGGACATTTGCCAGGCTACTATTTAGTCTTGTGTACATACTTTTACCAAGTTTTATGCCGCCATATCTGATCAGATAAAAATTCTGGGAAGGCAATTTTCCAGTCACTCTTTAAGTAGAGTTACTCCAAGCCCGACCTCTTTCTGATAACTGATTGTGAGCCACCTGAATGGGCTACACATCTGCAACCATTGAAAGAAGCAAAGACTTACTGGTTGTAACTGTTGTTCTAGATATGGGGAGAGATGTGTCTCCCATGACCCACGTTGGGCCTTTCTGGATTGGAGTCTCAATTGTTGTCATTCTGTATAGTGGATCTAAGGCATGTCAGGGCAGTGCTAACCTTAAATAGCATGGGGAGAGGCTCAAGCATGGGGAACACAAGTGCCAGCCCTAAGGGTGTTGCTAGGTAAAGTTCTCTAACTTTGGTGTGCTCAGCACAGGCAAACCTGAGACGTGTGCAGATGCACATTCTGCTCTAAGAACAAGCATTTATAGAATAGATAACTGACTTTTTTCAGTAAAACTTGAAAAACTATATTCCTGACATTAGTAGCCTATTATTGTTTCTTTTGTTTCCTATAATTATTTTGAGGGCAGTGCATTAATTTTATTCAATTCAAGATATTTGTTATGCAACATTAAATGGCTTCACTAGTGAAATTTTAAGTCTTCCTACCCAAGAGTTGTACTTGTTGATTTTTTTTTAATATAGATCAACTACAGAGGTGTTCATTTTGAGTCATGTTACTAGGTGGCAACACCTATGTCTGTTAGGAATTAGATTACTAAGAGCAGTGCTTCTCTTGCATGACTATTCCGCTATATTTACGTTTTATGTTTTTAAATGTTCGTGGAAGCTTTTATAAAAAAAAAATGCAGAAAACCCAATCATTGCAACACACAATAATATAGTTAATTAACTAGTTCTTTCACTGTATGTGAAAATGAATTTACTTTATATATCCTCCCAAATGAGTAGCAAAATGCCCTGTTTACAATTACCATACTTATATATTTTTAAACATATTGGTTTCTAGTGGTTATAATTTCCTGGCCCCCAAAAAATCAGCAACAGGTGAATATGAAATGTGAAGGAAAGTCACTGAGTGGCAACAAACCACTTAATTTCATGTCACTTTAAATTTACCTAAATGTTTTATGAACAGAATATCTTTTAATTTTGTGGGTTTATTTTATACTGTTTAAGCCAACATTAGAGGAGAAATTCATCCACAGTATCTTTTCATGTACCCTTGTGACTTCAAATTAAGTAAAATATAGGAGCAGTTGTTTGTAGTAGACCAAGTAGACTTTTTAAAATAGGTCTTCTGAACACATAGTGGCCAAAATCATGATTAACCTGATGTGTCTTTTGTTTCCAATTGCAGGATATGACAAGGCAGCCAAGATTGCCAAAACAGCACACAAAGAAGGGACAACACTAAAAGAAGCAGCTATTAAGCTTGGATTTCTTACAGCAGAACAATTTGATCAGTGGGTGAAACCTAAAGATATGTTAGGTCCTCAGTAATTTTAACAAGTGTACTTTAACAGAAAATAATTAAATTGCATAAAACAATTTTTTGCAGCTTACTTTGTTTTTCATGGCCATGTGTATCAGGATTTGAAGTGCTTTTCCATATGGAGCATGGGGTTATATTAGGAAATTGTTGTACTATAATAAATATACAGCAGTCAACCTTTTCCAAAAAGACTGATTCATCCACTTGCATCTCATTGCTGGGTGGCAGGGGTCTCCCCAGGAGTTGGGCCAGGAGCACACTGGCTGCCTGCTTGCCGGCAGGGACTACTGAATAGTCACGTAACTGCTAAAATTTGATGTGGTTATATGACTATTCAGTTACACTTTAACATCCCTAGTATTGAGTCAATGTTCAGTCGTAAACTTTTGATAGAACTACTATAACATTTTGGTCAGAGTTACAAGCATTTCACAGTTACCAACAACCTCCATTCATGAAGTGTTAGTAGCTCTGTACTTCTGTTTTATTCAGACTGATGAAGTTCCAGGAGATTTCAAACTACTACATGCTCACAGCTGACTTGCTGAAAACGTTAGTGCTTTTTTTATTTTTAAACAATGTCCATACATGTTCTCCACTAAGCAGTTTGCCTTCCTTCACGCAGCCAAGCTTCATCAATGATGGCCCTGGGTTTTGTTTTTGCGGGGTTGTTGGTTTTTTTTTTGGCAATTACAAATGTTCTTTTATTCTAAATTTCTTTTACTCTAAATTACTGATATCTGCTATATGTTAATCTTTTTGAAAGGGATTTGTTAATGTTGTAAAACATTTGTGTTGAAAACCAAGAAGCCAGGATACTATGTGACGCCACTAGACACGCCAGAGGTGCTCCACCCTGGCTTTTGCAGTTGTACGGTGGAGACTTACAGTAGTGCTGCCACTTGAGGAGAGGAGCTCAGTGGGGAAGCTGATGCCCCTTCCCCCTCCCAGAGCTCCCCTGGTCCAGCAAACTCTCTGGTACTGTACCAGTCAGATCCTGAGGATGCCAGAGGGAGGTCCAACCTGTATCTGGGTCCCCTATGATCTCTGAATTAGAACTATTAGAACCATGAAGTTCTTCAAGTGCTGTCCCTGTGGGTATTCCACTTAACATTTTGGTGTGCCCATATGCTTGTAGCCAGAAATTTAATGTAGTTGTGCCCAGCTGGGCTGCACATGGACAAACCCCATTTTGCACTGCCCCAGGCATGTAAATGATCCCAATCCCCCTCCCCCCATTCCCTCTTCCTTCTTTACTGCCATTGGCTCAAGTTAGAGCATTCAGCAGTGAGATGCAGCTATTACGATTCTCATTTTTCTTCCCTTATTTACCTGTTAGTTTTCATTGAAATTCCACATCTTTTTTTTTCTTTCCCTGTCTCCTCCACCCAAAAAAAATCCTTATAGCACTTTAAAGCTTTAGCGCAACAATATTGTCTTGAAAAATTATCAGCATAGTAACTTGCCAGTGTATGAAAGTATTGTTTCATTTACTCTATTGACTGGGGCAGCTCTATAACCATATCTTTCTCCATACAACTGAGAGACTATTCTGGGTCATGCCTGACTTCCCCACGCTTTAAAGGTGTTGTTACTTACCAGCTATCAATACCATATTCAGATATCCACTCTCAATGGCTAGGTCTATACTGCTGCTTTTTTTCGGAAAAAACTATGCAGAATGC